TCATATTGCACTCTTCACCCAACAAATCTACTTTGAAGTTGACTTATTCGCTCGGTCAATCGTCGGAATATGTACGAGATACTATTAGGGCCCAATATCTCAATAGCACCTTTTTCTAAAGCTTAAAACTTCAAACCTAGAATGAAAATGCTTTGAAGAATATGTTGTTGGTTTATTAATGGAGTTCAAATAAAAAGATTAATACTCATACCATCATGAAAAAGCTTTTGATCAGTGTATGAATTAGAGGTGATTATTTGTGGACCTCGGGCCGGGCCTAACTTGTTTTTTTTTGTCCAACGGGCTTAATATCATAAACCCAAACCCTTTTTTTTCAGGCTTGACAGCTTTCCATTCACCTTATAAATGAGTTGTGCTTGTCCATGGGCTAAGGGGCCTAAAAGGTGCAACTCTTATAAATCTATAAATTTGATCACTAACAATTAATTAACAAATGTGGAACCAAAAAATGTAACTCTTATAAATCTATAAACTTGAAACATCCAACTTGTAATCAAGAGTTTGGAATGAGCGAGGAGCAACGATGGATCATAGGGCAGTCGACTAGATGAACTGGAGAGTGAGAGGGTGGGAATGGCAATCTAGGAACACAGACCCCTCTGAATGGTTTGGGGTGGCCTAAGATGAATAATCGCTTAGAGTCTTATTGAACGATTCAGAGTTGAACCTCTTAATGAGATCATTAAAAGGTAAACAAACACAACCCCTTAGGCTTTTGGGTTCTCAAAAATAACCAAAGAGTCTCATCCTATAATTTTAATAATTTAATTTTAAAATATACTAGTATAATTGTAACTAATGATAAAAAAAATACTAATTATAAAATGTAAACGGATTGGGCAGGTCTGTCCATAATTATTTTTACATTATCCATGTCTACCCATTAATTTTAACGAACAAACCCGGGCTCGTCCGTTTTCTCGATAATGGTTGTCCAAACCCGTATTTCTAGCGAGCCGAATGAACCAGATCTAACGGGTCATCCGGCCATGAACAACTCTAGTATCAATCGATCATGTCATTACCACGCTGGTAATTATTAACTGTAAATCAATAATGCATATAACAGCTTTTATTTTTTGCATATCGCTATTTTACACATTTGTAAACAATAAAATAAAAGATTGAATTTTTTTCAAAACGTATATTATCGTTCTCAAATGAAGGAATCAAGTTTATAACTTGCCCAAAAATTCTTTTTTCATTAAAAATAGATTATGCCTTATTTCTAAATATAATTAATATTTTTAGTAAAAAGATAATATCAAAAACGAGTATTTTGACATATTTAATTTTTTTATCAAGCTTAAAATATGTACTTATTTTTAATATAATTTAGTTTTTAAATTAATAAAAAAATTCAAATAATCAGACGTGTGTGATTGAAGATCGAAATAACTTGATTCCATTTTTTATAATTATCCCTTAGGGTGTGTTTGGTATGTTGGACAGAGTGGGACAGGACAGGACAGAACACAATTGTCCTATGTTTGGTGTGGCCTTATGTTGGACTCACTAGAACTAGCTAGAACACGGGTGGGACAAGCCTGTCCACCCTTACCCCCCTGGAACTAAGTGGAACAAGAAATGTTTTACCTATCTACCCTCTCAAAACCCTTCTTCACTTCCACCGTATACTTCACGAATCGTTCCCCTTCAATCGGTGGTATTGATTGCAAGCGTCATCCTTCTTCCCCTTCAATCGGCGGTATCGATTTTGTCACTGGATTTCACACGATTTTGCTGTTTCACACGATTTTGTTGTTTTCGATCGGCGGTAT